GGGGAGAGATAGAAGGGAGGGCAGATTAGGGCAAGGGATATTCAGAATGCATGCCATCTTGGGGTAGGGGGAAGGACAAGATGGGGAGAAAATTTGGAACTCAAAATCTTGTGGAAGTGAATGTTGAAAACCAAAAATAAATAAATTAATAAAAAAAATGCATCACCAAAAAAAAAAACAAATGTTCAAAATTGTTTTTGCATGTAATTCAGTAAAAATATTAAACTAATTATAAAAAATTAATTGGGAGCTATTTAACAAAATAAATAAAAATACAATAAAACAAAACAAAACAAAAAGAAATACTGGTTTCTCAAGCCATATTCCTCATCCCATTCTAATCACCATTTTGAATCCCTTGAAAGTAGTCATTGGAATAGAGATAGATTATTTTCCATGGAGGACCCCCATTTTTGGAATTCAGCCAATATCGTTTAAGTCAAGCTGCACAACTTGCCACAAGCCAAAGGATTTCCTCTACATTGAAAGATATTTTCCTCTACATTTTTCTGCAGGCCACTGGAAATCTTTTGACCTGCTGTAAGTGGCCTGAGGGCAGTTGTGTAGGCTCCATTTAAGTAATTACTTCTAGATTAGTTTGAGACATTTTTTCAACTAATTTATTTTAACATTATAATCATTGTTACTTTCTTTTTATCTCTTTAACATTTTAACTACTTGGATTTTTCCTTTGTGTTGTTCTACAAAGACTATCTTATGATAAAGGACTTAATTTTTTAAATGGAATCAACAATTGCAATAACAATGCTATAGTAGTGTCTAATTTATTCAGCATTGTCACTGAATGGAGTTTTTCCATATACGTTAATTTTCCAGATAACTAAAGCTTCCCCCTTTGTCCCCTCTTAAAAGTCTGTGATTGTATTGATTTAGGCCAGAACTAGTTACAAGTGGTCATTTGGAGAGCCTGGATTTGAATCAAGGTCCTCTAACTCCAAATCAAATGAGGAGGTTGGGAGCCAATCCCCAGGCACAATATGCAAAGTATTCTGAAATTTAGCCCCACCTATGATATTTAGGACCAGAGATTTAGAGCTAGAAGGAAATTGAGAGCTCACCTAGTCAAAAACCTCATTTTACAGATATGGAAATTGGTGACTTACCCCAGGTCACAGAATTCAGCAGAACCATATTTTAAGATGTTTAATAAATGTTAATTGTCATTGGAGGCCTACAGAATTGTGGAAGAGGAAGCAATCCAATTAGGACAAACCATCAAGAAGCATCTATCAAGTACCTTCTATGTGCCAGGGACTGTGCTAAGTGTCGAGGATACAAAGAAAGGCCTTACACATAGGAATGTGCTGGTAAATACTTGACAATGACAGTAGGCTCTGTAGGAAAAAAAGAAAAGTATGCAGTCACCTTTCAAAATTTACTCTGCATTATTAACATTTTCTGAAGTTTAGACAATCAACAAAACAATAAATGGAGCCCCGTTGTCCAGTTTCTGAAGTTTAATATTTAACAGCCATCTGTCTTCAACACTGCTTACATAGCTACATCATTCATATCTTACAGCACAATATAGCACTTGATGTTTATAACAGGGACACTGAGTCATGAAGAAAGGGTTAATTTATATTTGGCATTCTCTGTTTACTAAGACCGGAAAATCTGTCATATGCTAGAGAGCTTCATCTAAAATAACCAAGATGAAAGACTCAATACTTAAAAGGGGATAATCTTTAGTTATCTAGACAATTCACTTATGTAACTGACATATGCAATGCTTTAAGGATTACAAAATTTATGAATATCATCTCAGTTGATCCTCACAAAACCCTGTGAGGTAAGTGGTATTATTACCCTCATTTTATAGATGAGGAAACAAGCTAAGAGAGGCTATGACTTCCCCAAGACCACATTAAGTACCCTTGACTTCAAGGCCAAAGTTCTAGCCACCTCTCACCTGGCAGCCTTGTCTGTGTAAAGCCCTGCTTCCCTATTAGCTCCA